GATTTTAGTTTTTTAGGGGCTTTTTAAATTAGTGCTTTTTTTTATTTACATCAAATTAGGATACAGGGGGTCTAGCCAAGATGGCTTAACAGTAGTGTATGTAGAAAGTCGAAAACTAAATTTGTATGAAAATGACAGCTCGTGTCGACAGTCGGTAGCCTAGGCTCTAAAGGCGTGAGTCGGGATACAATAAGCGACGCCATGACAGTGCTACGAAAAGACACACATTAACGCTTACGCTATTCGGTAGCCAACGGCCAATTAATGTTTCGGCAGTGTAGAAAAAACGGCGTTTCTCCGCCATGTTTTAACGTGATCTCAAAAGCTGCTGTTTGCATTAATTCAGTACAACTATCGCCATCTTTAATGGCTACCGATTTAAAAACATGTCATATTTTGAAAGTTTTAACGAAATGGTTTTAATTTGTTATCTGTCTTTTTTTAACGTTCTCGTGTTATTATAATAATTTAAACTAGAGTTAATATATTTAAGTTAAGCGTTTTAGATTTTCTATGAATCAATGCGAGGATAACATAATAGACACGGATAAAAATGAAAATATCAAGAAAATCAGCAAATTAGTAGAGGTAAATCCTGTTTATATTGGATATCTTTTATTGATATTTATATTGCATGTAAGTTCATGAAATTGTTCTTTAATTTGAAAAATACATATACCATTTAATATTGCTTATATTATGTAATCACAAAGTAAAATGATTGTACATTTTATTTGTATATTTCAGATGAGAAAGCAGTCACTAATGAACATAATTAGAAGTTCTAAATATATTTTATTGTAATTATAATAGAAGCTAATGATATAATATTGATTTAAATTAATCAAATAAAGTGGATTTATACTTCATGAACTTTGCAAATATACAATTTAGTGAGCAATACTAAGTAATGGTAAGCAGATATTTTCTTAAATTATTTACTGTTAATATACTAGAGAAGTTTATCATAATATTGTTAATGAATGAGAAGTTTGAATTCAAGTCCCTTGGGTGTTACTGGCATTGTTTGGTTATTAAAAACTTTAATTGACAATAAGCAGCAAAGTGACAAATTAAGTATATTTTTCAGTAAAGAGTTTTAATATTAAAGTTACCTATTGAACAAACCTTGGACCGGTCTTACAGTTTAGTTTGTCAGTTTTCTATTTGATCCAAGTACTAACTAAAATATTTTCTTTTCAGAAAAAGAGAAGCTAATAAGACAACTAAAAATATTAAAAAAAGACCACAAATGGACAAGTTTTATTAAAGTCTTATCTTTTAATTAATTTAAGTGTTATATTATGTACCTGAAAATGAATTTGATGAGGAATGAAGCATTTTATGAATAATGTAAAAAATAAGACAAGTGGAGTATAAAATAATGGTTGGTTAAGTAACATTACCTCAAGAACAGGAAACAGTAACTGAAACTATGTACTTCCACATTTAATCTTAATAAGTTCAGCAGTTTGAATGTTAATGAGTATTATAAACAAACTGCATTTGTAGATTTTGGGAAGAATTATATCTTTACAATAACTATTATTATTTACAATTGTTGTGTTAAGGAAACAATCACTATTTTTTTTAATCGCCCAGGATGTATTCATAGTAACTGTATTAGTTGTAGTAATTTTATGAAATCATCACAACATCTAACGTTGGGTTTTATGAATTGAAAATTTTTTTGTATATAACAGCACACAAACAAGATATTGACATTGCTGCAAATTAACACTTACATTAGTTAATTATCTACATATATGAATACATCATTAGGTAGTAATGCATTTAATTTGGTGCACCTGCGTGTGTTCAGTAGTAATGTCTGTATTGTTTAATAAGTTGTTACATATGCTTATTTTTCTATGTAGACTGCATTATGTTAAGGAAGATATTTGGTGCCTTATTTTAATAAAAAAATAACCATAACTGAAACATTTTTATTTTGCTACCTGTTTGTTTAATATTCCTAACTATTAGTAGGTATGGGTAATTCATATATGCATTATCTGTATATTCTTGTAAAATAAACTAATATTGTGAACCACTTTAATGGCTTTTCCTACTAAAGAAGACATAGGTAAATTACCAAAAATAAAACTGACAAATACATAACATACAATGTTTATTCATTTCTTACTTAAACAGATTTTGCATTTACATATTAACTAGTAGCAAATCACTGATATAACCAAAAGTTAATTGACATAAATATTAACTTAAAATCAGCATCAAACTTAAATTTATATCTATTATATCTAAGATGTTGGAGCATCAATATGGAATCAAAGGTTGATTAAGGGTTATAATTTCATACCAGACTAAGTTTCTATTTTATAATTTTTATTAATTCCTCTTTTCATTTCATTGAGTACTTGCTGTTTTTCAATTCTCACTTTCTAAAAGTATAAATATATTATAAACAATCAACTTTTATGACTCTAACTTAAACTGAAATTGTTTGTTGGACATAAACAGAGATAATTCCAACTAGTAGCAAATCACTAATAAAATCTACACTTATATATAAATCTGCTTTCAAATTGACATTAAAAATGTTCAAGCACAAACACCAAACCTAATTAAAGCTTAAATCAAACTCTAATTTCAGTGTTCACACTAGTCTACGTTTTTTTCTATTGTTTTTAATTCCTTGGACTTTATCAACTTCTAGTCAACCTTATTTTCACTCTTTATTTATCAATACACAGTACTATTTTTATTGTTTCTTCTAAGCGGTAACAAAATATGTTGCTTCTTCATTTTGTAGATTAGTTGTGAGGTCAAATCCTAAAAATATCAAAGTATGAGTACTACTAATTATTATATATCGCGATTATGCAATTTCAAAATATTGTATTTATTTGTAGCCTTAAATTTCTGAGAAAACATGAAACAAACCATAATTAATTTAAACATGCAATTAAAATTCATATATTCACTTTGCACCTTCCGTAAATTCCACTTAAATCGAAAATTGTTCCGACCTTGCTGACATTCTAATGTCCCTTTTGTAGCTTCCAATTGCAAATTTACAATAATATTGTAAAGTTTTAACTTTTATCTATATATATATAATAAAACTAAGTCGATAAAATGTGCGTGCCGATAAAACTTAAAATGGAGTCCCGACACGATAAAGGGACTTATGTGGTGTGATAGCCCTTTATCCCCCCTCGAACAAGAAAGTTCCCGTTTTAATCTAAAGGGCATGTTTTTAAAGATATAAGGGACTTTCCGACCCTTCAACTTGGAAATTAAGTGCAGTGACGCCATCTGTTATCGAATATTTGAACTTCGTTCAAGACAACTATGGAGACTATCTGGAGTCTCCATAGTTGTGAGCCATTGCAGCATGTGTAGTAGTGGCGCGAAATTTAAAATTCCAATTTCAATAAAATCTTAAATTTCATTTGTTACTATAATAAAGTTGTTAAATTTTGTGTATTTATACGTCATTATTTAACGTATATTTTGGAGTTAAAGCGACATAATTTTAGTTATCCAAATTAGTTCTCAAAATATTTAAAAATTTCGGTTTTTAAATTTCGCGCCTTTACTACATACGCTACCGCTACAGAAGCTAGAAAGTTCCCGTTTTAATCTAAAGGGCGTGTTTCTAAAGATATAAGGAACTTTCCAACCCTACAACTTGGAAATTAAGTATAGTGGCGCCATCTGTTATCGAATATTTGAACTTCATTCAGGACAACGATTGTTTGGGTTGCATTTCCAAAAGCGTTGCGAGCAATTGTAGCATGTGTAGTAGTGACACGAAATTTAAAATTCCAATTTCAATAGTCTTAAATTTAATTTGTTGCTATAATAAAGTTATTAAATTTTGTGTATTTATACGTCATTAGCTAACTTATATTTTGGAGTTAAAGCGACATAATTTTAGTTATCCAAATTAGTCCTCAAAACATTAAAAAAAAGTGGTTATTTCAAAGAGCAATTTTGGCCACTAAAAATAATATTGTTGATAATATCAATTTTAATATTCTAAAGAAAATACCTGGTGAAGAGAAAATATATAAATCGATCGACACGATGGTATCCATTGAAGAAAGTGTCAACTTCCCCACTGAATTTCTAAACTCTTTACAAGTACCAGGAATGCCATTACACTGCCTTCGTCTGAAAATTGGAACTCCAATCATACTACTCAGAAATCTCAACTCCCCAAAATTGTGTAATGGAACTAGAATGATCGTAAAACAGCTATCGAATAATATCATTGAAGCTGAACTTATTTCTGGAAAGACCAAAGGACAGACAGTATTTATACCTAGAATACCTCTGATCTCTTCGCAATTGCCATTTCAATTTAAAAGACTGCAGTTTCCAATAAAATTAGCCTTTAGTTTTACAATTAACAAAGCGCAAGGACAAACTTTAAAATATTGTGGCATTAACCTCAAAGAATCCTGCTTCTCTCACGGTCAGCTATATGTAGCTTGCTCAAGAGTAGGAAATCCGAAAAACTTATGTATATATACTCCGGACAATAAAATGAAAAATGTTGTTTATAAACAAGTATTGTAAATAATGAGAAACCGTTTTCAATAAACTTTTTTTTTACTTTTTACGTCATAGTTTATTTTTTTATTTCGACTCTACCACGTCATCTCATATCTACTCCCGGGCGAAGCCGGGATTTTTAGCTAGTTTGTTTATAAAAGTGACATTAGGAATACATTTAATCCAGAGACAATATGACGGAATAAGGTGCTACGAACAGCAGCTCGCATCTACGCTGTCGACTTTGCGGTAATGTATCGACATGTCTCTTGGCTACGAACGAAGCGTTTTCGACAATACAATTACGCAAAAGCGGTAGTGTATGTAGAATCCTTTTCGACACCAATATGGCTAGACCCCCAGATCTGCCCTTCAAAACATACATTGACTTTTAATTTAACTGTAGAAATAAGATTGAAAAAGAAAATGTGAAAAGTTTCACGAGTGACTTATATTAAGTAATTGTATTCATAATGTTAAATTATTATAGGGTTAAAGTTATAAATGTGAGTACTTTTAGAAGTTTTTCAAGAAAGTGTTCTGTATCTAATTTGAATAAGCTATGATAACTAAACCTTATTTCCAGCATGTGCTATCCAACCCTGCTTCCCAAACACTGTTAAGGTGTTGGTGTAGTTCAAATATAGACAGTAAATATTCGGAAGCTGAAAAACAAAAAGTCTTAGAGGTTATAAACAAATCAGATTTTTCAACACTCTCCAAGTAAGTACCATATTGAGATATTATAATATGATTTTATTTCCTCTTATATATAGAAAAGGATGGCATATGCTTGTCATTTAGAATCTTGACTTGTTAACTGCAACATTATTTCAGGTATGATGTCACAAAAGGTAGATCAAAAAATATATCTCAATGGATAAACACATATGGACCACTTAAGAATATTTGTGAAGTTGAAACTATAGATGGGTTTACTGAAAAGCATGTACAGAAATTATTTGAAAGTATTATACATAATAAGGTCAAACCTGAAAAAGAAACAAATGCCCTGCAGCAAATAAAAGGACAAATACTAAATCCACCATTAACAGAAGTGACACGGCAGGTATTTTGTAAATCTGTCTAGTTTTTATCATAAATTTGTGTTTTGTTTAAACTTTAACCGCCAACTGAGAGTGATATCTTCATGGCATAATTTCAATTCATTTCTTACAGGCTGCAAACACCATATTAACTGTGTATGTTACAGTGAATTCAGTATCATGGGCCTTAATTCACAAGCACAATTATGAGGTAGCAGATTGGCAGTATCATGGTATTGAATATCCGGATAAGAGATTTCAGCTAGGTGATATTTTAGAAATTGTAAGGGCTAATTGACTAATATCTTTTGAAGTCATATAGAGTAATTAATATATAACAATAATTTTTAAAACTGCTTCACTACAAAATTCATGTGAGAATATAAATATTACTGAAACGGCTTGACCAATACTTTTGAATTTTTTAATGCATGTTCAGTATGTCTGAAAATCGGCTACTATCTATCTTTCAAACCCCTAAGTGATAAGGGGTGTCCATCCCAAAAAAAAAATTTTTTTGTTCAAAAATTTTTGATTTTACTTTTTTAGCATATAAAAATAATGAATAACTTTCCCCTAATTTTCACTCCTCTACGATCAACCCCTATTTTTTATGATATTAGATAGTTATCTTTATTGAACTAAAAAATGTTTCCTTGAAATACATGGCATGGTCAGCTAGTAAAATTATATAATTATGTGTATAATACTGTTAATGAATTGAAAATTAATCTATTGTTTGATTGAGAAGTTACTTGAAATGTGCCAATAATGTTATTGCAACTGGTATATACATAACACTAGGCGATGCCACTTTAAGAATAGACTTACTATTTCATAGTACCTATATGTATATTTTACCTTTAGTATTTATAAAATCAACTGACTAGACATGAATATAATTTTTCAGGCCTGGAATATAACAAATAAGCTGCCTACAGCAGATCTATATGTAATGAAAGCTGAGGCTACTAGCCTTAGAGCATCTGGTAGTGATCCAAATAATCCTAAAGTACTTGGTGTCAATTTGCAAAAGGCACAAATGGTATCAATGATTGTTGCCCTTATATCAACAAAGAATCAGGAGTGAGTATTCTTTTTAGTTGTCAGCCATCTAAAATATGAGCTGTAATTACTACAATAGATTTTTCCAATCTCTCAAATACTTAAGCTCTTCAGAAACAATGGCAATAAGAGAATTTGCAAAAGGGCTACAGTCCTTTTTATGTACCTTCTATGGAGGTATTTCTGTTTTAGTTTGATTAATTAGCGCTAGATGGCGTTTTTATAAAAAAATTAACCAACCAAAACTGACATCTTTTGCGATCCTCTAAGTAAACTTAGTATGTTGACGATATTTATAAAATTCTTTGTTTTCTTAATTATTTATGACTTTTCAGTTTGTTTCAAGAAGTTAGCAAGAAATCTGAAAAAACTAAAACTAAATTTAAGCAGAACGTTTATTTTTTACGATCTTCACTACCGTTTCGGTAAGTTATATTTTAGTCTAAGTAATAAACTTAGTAGTTTATCTCTAATATTTATATCATCGCAAAACCTTACCAACGATTTTAAGAATAGTTTATATTTTAATTGAGTAATCATAAAGAGTAATTTTTAATTTTTAAATTTTTAAAACTCGTACACCCACAGAAGGGTAACATTGGATTGGTAATTAATTTAGGGGACTTTTTGAAGTTATACTTCTTTAGGCGCGTTATGAAAAATTGATGCGAGTGAAATTTTACGATGCGCGCGCACCGTGACACAAAATTAACAGAATGAAGTTAGTGGCGCATGTTGGCACGCACGCCGCCTCTGTTCACTGTGTATTTATATTTATAATATTTATCCACATGCTTTGAGTTTCTACATTTAAAACACGTGTTTTCATTTTGTTTTCATTATACAAGTGCGAATTTTATATGTGCGTCTGAATTATAACCGGAGTGATTAAAATTGAATATTTAAATCAATACTAATTATAAAATGTTAGAAAATAATAATAAATATAAATATAATATTTATTTATTTAATTTTTCAAATGTAAACTGAACTTTATTGACTATAATGACTCCTTTTCCAGTCTTTGATTATTTAATTTAATTAATTATTTGCATGCAATCAAAAACTATTTTTAATAATTCCAAAGAAGTATAACTTCTTACGCGCGTACATAAGTACACGTACCCTTTTTTATTTTATTGGTACGTTAATTTTAATAATAAGATTGATTTTATATTATCGTAAACAGAACTTAATTACTAGTCGAAAACATACAATATAATTAAACGCCATCTATTACAGACCGATAATAAATTTTTGGCTTATGCACATTTATACTAGATGGCATAGTACACTTATTTGTTTAAGTTAGAGCTTGTAGGTTGTAGATTAACATTGCGCGTTTGATTATCATACTTCTAAATCATTTAAATGTTATGATTTCCTCTGTTCAATTTATGATCTTACAGCTTTATTAAATTATATTTAGTAAATGAATAATTAGTAATTACTAATATTAATCTAAAGTATGCTGCAATTGAGCTCTCAAATTAAATTTCCGATTAACTAACGATTAACTAACCATTGAAAAATATAACTTTTTATAAAATAGTTATTGAATGTTTTCGTGTCATTTTAATTAATATAATATAAGTAAACGTCATTTGAGACGTATTAGTTCAATTAAAATTTTGAGTGCATATTACGATCTGCAAAGCCATTTAATAATAATAAAAACTTTATGACAGAAGGGTTTGTGACAGAAATCATAAATCGCTAGTCCCCACACTAGGGAGGCCCTGTGTTGTGGGTAACTAGAAAACAATTATTTCGTGGTACATGTTAATTTTAACAAAACATGGTACATGTTAAAAAAAAAAAGATGATAATAAAAAAGAAAAAATACTAATAATAGTTATAAATTTAGTGTTACAAATGAAGTGAATGAGTGAGTGTGTGAATAGGTGAGTAAGCGCATGTATTTGAGAATGTAGCTGAAAGTTGTTATGATCGTGCACTGTGTCTGTGTTAGTTTATGAAACCTCAAAGTCATACCAAGATATGTAGTAATGCCTCTGTAGATTCGAAATCCAATTTGGCTAGTGTAGTTTCTATGTGACTTGCTAATTTATATCTGGATAGTTTTACGATCTCAGAATCCATAGATTTGGAAATTTTGTTATAAAGGAAGGGGCCCCTAAATGCAAAGGAGCGTTGTCCAAACACAGTCCAAAACATTTAGATAGATATGTTTTGATTATAATATTTCCACGTAACAATGAATCTATGTCCACTTTTGACTGTATACTCTAAATCACGCAATGCGTTCTAATTCCATATTTTAGTTTGTTAAAACAATAGTTTAGCCTACCTTTATAATAAATTGTTATAATCGATTTTATTAGGAAGACGGACAGTGAGCATACCGCTTAATAAAAACCAAACTAATAAAATGTGTTTCAACGCCATCTATTGTAGACTGTATAGAACTTTAGTTTTGGCATGATTAACCTAGATGGCGTTGTTCACTGATTCCTTGAACATTCCCTATGGGCTAGTCTTTGTAAGCCGTTAGTCGATGTATAATTTTTGTAATTTTTTATTTAATTTTTAGGTTATATGGTACTCTTATTGGTAACGAGAGAGTGGCGTCAGACCAAACAGTGGAAATGTTACTTCAAGACAACAAAATGAGATCCTCTGATAACTCCCATGTCTATGTCCCCGAGGACCTGAAATCGTCGTTTAGGTCGCAACGAGATCTGCCCAAGGATATGATGGGCCAGTGCCTATTATTTGCTTTAACATTCATGGACCTATGTATTTATAAAAATCAGGATAAAATTCAGAAATTGTTATCAAAGAAAGTTGAATGAAATTAATTTTAAACCGTATCTGTTTTCTTATTAACTCAAGTCTTTCGTCTTTATAAGTTTGCTAGTGAATAAGTGTGACAAAATATACAGTGTATAACGAATTTTAATGGACTGATCATTTTTTCGTTATAGGAAGGGATCGTTATAGGAAGGGATCGTTATAGGAAGGGATCGTTATAGGGAGTGAAGAGAAAAAAACCAACTTTAACAAATTACCTTCAGTAATTTCTAATTTTATTACTATCAATAGGTAAATTATTCTAAACACATATAAAACATAAGGCTTTTCTTTTACTGGCCATCTTGACAGCTTCAAATTTTGTTTACGACTGATAATACACGATAGGTGACGGTGGTGCGTTTAGTAACTGAGACTAAAATTTCCTACAGGCAATGTAATCTAAGTATAATGGCACACGTGTTAATACAATTAGCAATAACAAAAGCGAAACGGCTGTTTATGCCCTCAGGTGTCTTCTTTGGAAATTTCGGCACCTCAAAAGGTTAGTTTCGTAAGCTGATTATAAAAACAATTACTTACACTTAAGTACGTTGTTGATGCCTAAATATGACAATATTTCTTCGTTATAGAGATGGCTTTTGCGTTATAAAGAGTAAAATAATAGGGTTTGTTTAAAACTAAACAAATGTACTTTTTTTCTTGCGTTATAGAGAGTTTTTCGTTATAACGAATAACGCTATAAAAGACGTTACACTGTACTTAAACTGAGCTTAAACGGGATCAACTTTTATGTATTAGTAATTAGTCCACAACTGAAACCAAAATATAATAAATATAACAATATAACATTGTGGTACATATCAATAACTTGTTATTATGGCGCGTCTAAACGGGCCATGTTTTGCTGCAATTGATGGCTGCACTGTTGGCCACTAATTGCCCGGCCATTACAAAAATATTTTAATGCAGCTGATGGCCGAACAATCTGTGGCTGGGCAATGTGTTGCAATAGTATGGCCCATGATGCAGACTCCTAAACGGGCTACACAAACCGGCAACAATGGCTGACGAAATCACACTTGTCGCAGCAGCTTATATTGTTTTAAAAAAGAAACAGAAAAAGAAGAGATTGTGGATTCGACTTTACTTAAATAGGCGTGAAACTGTAGACAATTTGAGTCTAGAAATAAGTCTTGATAATAAATTATTCAAGAACTAGAATGTCAAAAGTAGTCATTTTTACGTAGTAATCTAACGTCAAATACAGCTGATCGCAAAACACAGAATAAAGCAACAGGCATACTTCACTCAAAGCAAACGTCATGTCGCGTAGAAAAGGATACACTATGCCATAACAAAGAGAGTGACTGAAACAACAAGAGAACTGGCCGTGCAATATTGCAGTTGAATTCGATAGCCTAGCGATCGTCCGGCCACCTATCGTGGCAACATCGGCCATATGTGGCTATACAAAACATGTTTGGCTATATGGCCGGGACATTACTGCAATATTGCATAGTGTGGCTGCTATTGTTTGCAATGTTGCCGGCCACAGTGTTGCAGCCATCAATTGCAGCAAAACATGGCCCGTTTAGACGCGCCATTATGACATGTTTTATAACATTCAGTGTCCACATTATCTGAAATATGTTATATAGCAATGTTGTATAACAAGTTATGTTATATAGTCTGTACGCACCCTTATAAAATTGTTTGTTTGTTCTTGTAAATTCTTCAGCTAATATTAAAGAATTTAATTCGACACAAAAGTACTGTAATTAATAAGGTATAAGTATAACATTTTCTGAGAGTAATGTTGGCCTAGTGGCTTTAGCGACGACTGACTTGAGGTCGCAGGTTCGATCCCCGGCTGTGCACGAATGGATTTTACGCATTTAACATGCGCTCGAACGGTGAAGTAACCATAGTCCCAAAAGTCGATGCCGTGTCAGGCACAGAAGGCCTATCGCCTACTTGCCTATTAGATTGACAAATGATCATGAAGCAGATACAGAAATCTGAGGCCCAGACCTATAAAAGTTGTGGCGCCACTGTTTTTTTAATATTTTTTTTGTAGTACTTGTTTCTCAATTTCTTACTTGTATAAATGAGTAGAGAAATAAGCATTATTAAACAATCATAATCTAAATAGTCTAGTACAAAATTATAAGTTATGTACTTAACCTACGTACATAGCAAGAATAATAATTAAAAATTGATAAATAAAATTTTAACAAATTAAAAAGTTAGGTCCCTGTCACAGTGTTTAACGCTGGCAGCATTCCTCCCTGTGTTGCAATACTTATTCGTTGAGCGAGTAAAGCACCAGCTCTCGTCACCGGTACTATCTACCAGGCGCCAACTTAAATCTTTAATTAGCGCCTGTGCACTTGAACCCCACGGCTCAAGTCTGCTCCAAAGGGAACAAAATCAAAGTTGTAAGAAGAAGTTTAAAAGTTATATATTAACCTATTTATTGATCTTAACAATGAAGCTGTGTTAGGGATTTGGGCATAAAAGAAAACCGCATTATATTGCTTCAGTTGGACTAAAAAGTGTTTATTTGATAAAATACAACGAGCTTACTTTTTACAACATTTTACTTCTATTAAATGACAAAAACAAACAAAACCCTTAATTGAATAATAATATACATAAATACGATGGTATCAACTTCAAACGCATATGTAACTAATATAAATGCAATTACAGGCAAGAATATTATACAATCAACTAAATAAAATTATTAAAAAATAACTATTCGAAAAAAGTTACATCGTGAAGAATCTAATACAAAAATTTTCTATAAGATCACACTTACTTTTGACCTAACCGAATCGAATTTTGTATTTAATACTGATATCGTTTTGGAAGAACTAGAAAATATATTTACATTAATTTTTATATTAATTGCCAACGTGAATTTTTTCGCCTGGATCTTTGTGACCGTTTCGCAACCAACTGTTTCGAAAACAAATTATAAAAAGTCTATGGTGAACAAAACTGAAACCTGCATTATGTTCTGTGTAAAAAGTTCGATCTTGTATTCTGGGATTGTACTAAATCAATCTCATATAGTCTATTTCGGTGTATTTGTATGTAAGAAAATATACTCTATTGTAACATTGATGAACGGGGCTGCAAAGAAATGATTTCTAGGCCTTGCAATATAACAACTACAATATTCTAGACTAGACCGTATTCCAAAACGTGACGAAGACTTTACAGAAAAATTGTGCTTGTAGATCTTACAACTAGGTACAAATTGACGTTACGTTATCGAATACGGAACAGTAAATATATATTCAATCTAGGTATAAAAAGTAGCTAGTAATGGGGTTTACTTATTCGGCAAAATAATATCGCTTTATTGGCTAAAATAATACTTTTGTCACGTGTCGAAAGTATGAATAAGTAGTGAAGAACAACACTGGAAGACAGTGGGTGGACGCGAATCGCGTCTCAAACGAATGCGAGAAACATTCGCAATAGTTTAAATCAATGCTTCACAGCCCCGGAATAATTCTGTAGAAACCTAACAACGTTGTAAAATTACCAGTCTATTGTTGTATATTATAATAAATATGTACAATTAATAATATCAGAGCACCCATTTCACAGAAAACCAATATTATCTAAGGAGGGCTACGTCGCCCACTAGGCTTTTAAAAAAATCTTTGTAACATGTATATCACTGCGTTGTTGTATAAAAAATCTATTGTATATCTTGTAAAATCTGTATATCTATTGTACTATTCGGTATATGTCATATTGTATTTAAATAAGTATTGTAGCAAAAATAAGCTGAATAGGCGCCGTAGCCCGAGACTCCTGACTAATAAAATCTGTAAAAAACCTCAATCCAGACTACAAGATCATAATATCTAATATGTTTTATCTTTTATAAAAAATTCAACAACTCTTACTTTATTGTGGAACTGTTTCAACAAGTCTCTATTGTGATAAAAATTAATACTTATTATTCCTTTTAATAATTTGTGACAGCGGTTGGCGATTGTGGCAGTGTACATACGATGAAGGTAACACTTAAAAAAAATATAGGCCACCTATGTTGGCTACCAATTATTCGCTTATCTATACTATATGTAATATTAACCTTACAGTAAAATATAATGTAAGCACATTAAAGTATAATACAACATAATATAACGCCAAACTAAACGTGTATTGCACTAAATCCGCAATTATTGCTCGTAAGTAGAAATAATTTTCTGCTGACTATACAATGACAAAATAATACATTAAAATGTAAAGGATACAGAGTAAATATGTAATAGATGTAAATAGATTATAAACTACAGCGTAAATGGAAGACGTAAAAATAATAATCTGTAGCCAACTGTATAATAAAATTAAAATAACACGAAGGCCTAAACTTCTAATTGGCTGTCTAAAACAATGCGGAATCTAATTTATTATAGATTTGGAATACAATAATGACAAATTCACTCTCTTAATATTATTTATAAAATTGTGCTGGCTATGTATTTGAAGATATTTTACAGATAAAAAATATTTAGAACCGCAAAGACGGTGTAAAATAATTTCCTAAAGATTACATCAAGAGAAACCTAACGATCAGACATTGAATAAAAAGTGTAGATAATACGGTGTTTTGTTTATAAGATTTAAGAAAATATATAAAATATAAATCAATAAATTCTTTTAATTTGTATAGAGATATCGCGTACTGATTAGATCTGAAGATTTAAAAGCTATAGTGAAGCGGGAATTATGAATAGAATTTCAGCAAACAACTTTAAATACCTTAAATTATTGAGACGTAATTGTCAAAGTAAATCTAAGCGGGTAAAAATATCTCGTATGAGATCAGAAATAAATGCAATAGAAAATGTTGCTATGACCTACTGTCTTTTTGTAATCAATTGTACTTTTAATAAGTATCCTATGTCTAAACAGTATGAATTAATTACTCAGAAATATACCTATTTAAAACTTTCTCATGAAAGCTTTAAGCACTTGAGACCTTACAATAGCTTAATGTATGAATGAGTAAAATAAATGTTCATATCTATGCAAACGTATGATTCGAAAAAAAGTTGCAAAATGTTTTTAGACTACAACTTTTGTTTTTTGTCAAATCGTTTTAATAATAATGAACTTGAAATAATTTCATTAATTGTAAGGCCTCAGCGCTGTAATTAATGACATGTTAGAATTGCCGTTTTTTGAATTTCGATTCATTATCTGTGGGAGTTTGACAGCACTACACAGATTATGATAATATTAAACGCTACAATTTTCCACGAACGTAAAATAGCATTTATATTGCAAATCAGTATAACCTACTTTTTACCAAGCTTAGCTTACATATTGTATTTAATACAATTGACGCTCATGATAATATAATATTATGCAAAGTATACATTTCCAATGCAATCTTATTCTCTCCTTTTGTTATTAACTTAAAATAAGTATTACGTGATATAATGGATAGCGCTCGCTTAGAAGAAATTACTTAAATTATTGTGTTAATGAATTCACATTCAAATAAATGCGAAAATTAGTACATAAAATATAGTTGTGAGAGGAATTTCATTCCTTAAATAAATCGATGTTAAGTTAGATGTTCTAGCGGATTTTAAAGTGTCATTAAAGGAATTGGTAAAATTTAAATTGGCGGTTAAAAAAACATTACATAGGCTAGGAACATAGCAAAGAACCTAAATAACAGTCAGTGGAGTTAAGACATAAAAACATTGCAACATTTAAATTCAAATACAAATCTGTGACAAAATTATTGGACGGCACAGATTAAACACAAAGCATTAACGATAAGTAACTGAATTCTCACACTGACAACACACACTTAATTAAAAGAAAAGCGGAACCGTGCTCTCTAGAACATTATACAATTATACAAGGATTCATAAAACTAACACAAGTAACATAATACACGAATAATTGAGCAAAAATTAACGAAAAATCTGAGCAATTTTTGGAACTTGTCGAAAAATCAATATTAACATATACTCTGCTTGTGATATGTATTTACGCTGATAAGGTAATAACGGATTTTAACATTCGTCGGACATACGAAATTTGATGTCCAGCACTCACTCGCGTAATTTACAGAAACCTGATTTCCTGATACCTACTTAGGTACTTAGCATGTGGTACACTAAAATGTTAAGTCTATTTCACATTTACCTTTAATAATATTGTATGTAATAAATGTATAAAATATCATCTTTAATCTCTGTATACTTAATCACCTTTGTTTATATTTAAAAATTAAATCCATTTGTATCGGTATAAAAATCTAATTATACATCTGAGGTTAGTTCTCGGCTATGGCACTGTATTTTGTGTTTGTATTCAAACTTGTACAGTGCGACGTTGCGCGCCCGGCCGTTATAAACGTATATATTGTAAACTGTATAAAAATACTTATAACTATTATTGTATAAGGCTGCTGTATTGTGGTGGGTAAATATTGTGGGTCAAATTTTATTAGGTGACTGTGACGGCATAGTTTCAACGAGTTTTATAGTCTGTGTTTGGGTGTCAGATAATAAAATTTGAGCTTTCTGAACTGGCTTGTAAACTATTGGTTGTGTGGCCGGGCGGGCAGCGCCTCACTTCTCAGGAGGATCACTTGAGGATAAATATAGTCACTGAAGATAATCTCAAAAATCTTCGATAATGGTGTTTTTGTTTGTAAACCTCCGAAAGTTTGATAGGAAAAACAATCAGAAACTTAAACGCGACGGATCGACTCACCAATTCTGATATCAATCTATAGCTGTATTTTAATTGGGTTTGATTAAGGATTTGTCTCAACACATTGACATGATCGATCCTCAGAATTGCGAAGTATTGAATTTTCATAACTGTCCAATGACTAATTTCTTTAGTAAAACCAACAACAAACATACAAATAAAACGTCCGGTCGCTTGGTTAGCGACAAATTAAAACTATGGTATCCGGTTAATGTGACAAGTACCTCCACAAATACATACTATTATCTACTAGTTAATACGTAACATCCCTTATGCTGTAGGAAAACTAAACCATCACAATAATATCGTAAAATAAGCTATATATGTCGTCTATACATACAAACAGAGATGATAAAACGTTAAAAATGTGTTTCCGTATTCTGGCACCGCGAAGTTTATAGTCGTCAAGACTAAACGTACATTAAACGAAATACTTGCAACAAAACTGATTCTGCTATAAATGAATTCTCTCACTGTAGTCTTTCGTTTGGCCTAAGCACCGACAACAAGCACTCGGAGAGAAAAGCAACAACAAAGTCGATATATTTGATATACCATGCCTCTGTTCAAAACCTATTCATATTCTGTAATGTAATTCTGGATACCTGTATCTATTGAGGACGCGACACAAACGAGGCTCTGTCGGCGCCAAAATACTTCAACATTCATACATATATTTATTTTTCCTATTTGCTAAATTATTTCGCGATGAATGATCGAATTGCTTGGTAATTCGAACGATATTCTAAGCTAAAATTAAGTAAAACATATCTCTGGCATAACCCTCTCTCCGTTCCTACATCGAAAAGCACTTTGCGACATCACACGTTATCTAATTGGCAAAAATTCGCTAATCTCACTCGTGACAAATTTAAATCAGTCGAGAAAAGGCGCGGTCAAAGGCCCCACAATTTTGATTCAAAAACTTAATACAACAAATCACGAGTATTTTTTATCAATCATACGACATCTCATTTTTTCGTAGTTAACAAGAATTTTAAACGCTAAATGAGCGAAATAGACGCCTAACTTACCTAGCTATCACAGTCCTTCTCAGTCTGGCTCTTTTCCACGTAAATGCATCCAAATCCTCTCGTTGAAAAAACTGGTAACAACCTAACTAGGTCTATGAAATAAGCTGGTACAGTCAATATCCATTTTCTGTGTGTGCTGTGTCCATTGCCTTGCCTGGTCTTACGATGTTCTATCCCTGTTATTGTTACTGAACAATGGACATTGACCGGAATACTAAATTATTTGGCACCTACAAGTTATGGAGATAAAAGTATCCCGTTTAGATTAAATGCATTATTAACTCCGTAAGTACTAAAATAAACGTTTGATGGCGATAGGTAACCTACGTTTTTGGTTTGCTTTCTCGTTTTACTGTTCTTAATTTTACACCGATTAAGTTTAAAGCGCAATTTTTACGCGAAAATTTTAAGTAACTTTTAAAGATTTGAGCATTTTTTATCATTCTCCTTACCCTGCGTTTGCCAGATACAATAATCTTAACACTCGTAAATAAATTTAACATAACATCTACGTTTATTATTATTTGTTGGGCTCCATCTTGTCCCTAAAGCATTCATCGCGAAATACCGTTACGTGGTAAAAGAGAATTTCTTACTTTTTTATATTTCAACGAAGAGTTTTTAAATTCTAATCTCTGGTTCAATCCGCTCGGATCAAGACGTAAGTTTCGACTGAAGAATCACAGAGAAACCTAACTCTTACGTGGTAACTTAATATTACGGGGCAAAAACGCTATCTATACTCGCATTTTGAACGGTAACACTATTCATGTGAACTCTCGAAAACTGTACTTTCGCGACAGATTTCGATTATTGTTATTTAATGATCGAAGCATGTTTACAGCGATCCGATATCTCGTTAAAATAAGCTCGCATAGGCGAGTCGTATACTGGTGCGTACCGCAACTCTTTACGTCGTGATGGCAAGCAACGTCGGCTGGCGGGCTCAGTAGAGGCGGTCGACGTAGAGGTCGTGATGCGTGGGCGCATGCGACGGGGCATGATGAGGCGCGGGAGGCCCTGGCGGCCACCGCGGGGGCGCGGGTCACTGTGTGGGCAGACATGCCACGGTCGCGCCGGGACCAACGGCCGGCTTGAACTCGGCGCCGCTGGAGAATTGCTGGAACGGCGGAGCATAACACTGCGGGAAGTACAGCTCGGGCTTCACAACAGCTGAAGCCGGCGGGAGCGGACGCGGAGTTTTAGCATCTGCGCGTCGTGCTTTAGCCGCATGCGGGTTCATATGGTTATCTATATGTTTCTTTACTTCTGGCTCAGTAGCAAAACGCCGCCTGCAGTTAGGCATTGGACAGCAGAATGGCCGGTCACCTTGATGCGTCCTTGTGTGTTGATCAAGGATCGCCTTTTGCCTAAAGTCTTTCCCGCATTGCGTACACTTGTATGGTTTCTCTCCAGTATGTATGCGAAGATGTTGGTTCAGAATGGTTCGTTGGCGGAAAAACCGAGGGCAATACACGCAACCGTATGGCTTTTCATTAGTGTGGATACGCAAATGCTGAGTTAAATGTGATTGTTGACGGAACCTCTTGCCGCACTCTGGACACGGATAGGGCCGAGACTCTATATGTATGCATCCATGCTGGAGCAACGTTGATTTTTGTTTGAATTCTTTCTGGCATATGGGACAACGTACGTACAGTGGCATTGCGCGTCCACCGAGAACATCAGGGAGCTTACCGCCCTTTAAGTATTGCAGCGATAGTCCTGAACCAAATACAGTGTGGTTAAGTCCCTTCGTATCCTTAAAATATGCAGGATACTGCGCCGTGTCACCGGGCGAAAAGCAAGAGCCACGTTGCTCGCCGTTCTGTCCGTCAGCGTCGCCGAACGCTGATTGAATTTCCTCTTTGTTTTCATCGGGTGGGAAAGGCACATCTTGAGGCCACAGCGTCGGCGTGGTCCCATTCTTGAAGATCAGATGCGGCGATACGTCTGCAAAAATGGAATAATCGGTCATTTACATGTTTTTCTCAGTTTTAATAAAGTGATCGAGCGGGTTAATCGAACTGAGGACGGTTACGGGAACGTCCGGCGATCGGTTCCGCGTCTCGCGAGCGCCCTCCGCAATTTGGGCGATGAAGGGACCGAGAATTTGTTTGATAGGAAGGCCAATGGATGCGAGACCGAATCGTACGGGTGAAGGGCGGCGGGGATCGCATGCGGCGCCGGCAGTGACGCGAACCGCTCGGGTCATTGCGGGCGGCGCGCGCGGGGACCGGACCGGGGCATATATGTGTGAATAGCGCTCGCCTTGGTGTGTGCGGACGTGCTGGTTGAGGATGGCCTTCTGGCGGAAATGTTTGCCGCATTCGCCGCACGTATAGGGCTTCTCACCGGAATGGATGCGCAGGTGTTGATTGAGGATGGCGCGCTGCCGGAACGATCTCGGGCAATACACGCAAGCGTAAGGTTTCTCGTTGGCGTGGATGCGCAGATGCTGGGTGAGGTGGGACTGCTGCCGGAACCTCTTGCCGCACTCCGGGCAGCCGTACGGCCTCGAGTCCGTGTGAATCCGCTCATGTTGGAGTAGGGTCGACTTCTGTTTGAAATCTTTGCCACAGGTTAGGCACTTGAACAGACGCAGTTCAGAGTTCGGGTTATGCTTCCTAGGTTTTGGTTGTTCAGGCTGAACGATATCTGGTAGATGACGCAAATCAGGTGTAGAATATTGGTCTAGAGGTCCTTCCAGCGATAGAACTCCTCCGTTTTGTTTTAAGTAGTGCAGAGGAAAGCCCCCAGTACCGAGCATGTGGCTAGTGGGTCTGGCCTCTTTAAAGTATGGTGTGTATTGTTGTTGCAAGTCCGATTGTGGGACGAAGCATGGCGTACGATCGAGATGGTCTTGTGTTTGCGATTGCTGGGCTTGGCTGAGCTGTTGTTCAACTTGCATTTGTTCCGTGGAAGATTGCTGTTGGGCTTGCTGCTGGGCCTGCTGTTGAGCTTGCTGTTGAGCCAGTTGCTGTGCCGCCTCATCAGATGGGTCTTGAGGTGGAGGCGCGGGCGGATAGGGTGATGGTGCTGGAGAAGCCAGCTGTGGCTCAGGCTGAGGTGAGGGCCCGCCAGGACTCTGATGCTGCATTTGGTACCCTCCGTCGAGCACAGTGCCACCCCATTGGGTTCCTGGTGGAGCTCGCTCCACGCCATCTTTGTAGAGCACATAGGGCGCTGTGGTATCTGAAAAGAAGGATACAACTTTAAGTATTTATGCAGATAGAAGAATTTTTCAGTAGAAAATATTTTGAAAGTTGCTTTAACAAACAGTCTAATAATTCAAAAGCGAATTAGGATAGCTGGCAGAAAATAATAAATCAATAAAGTACAATTATAGCGTGATTAGTAGATTTGACGTGCAGACAAAACCGACAGTGTACTCTGCAGTTCGCGTGTCGTCTATGAATTTGCGCTCGCTGCCAAATAAGAATTTAATAAAATGTCACATGCCGCCATGGGTGAGACATTTTTGATGGTTACACGATTTTATGGTACCGAAGGAATAGGAAAAGTTTTGTCACGAAGCCTTCTATATTACCGTTATTTATTATAGCTTTAACATTTTATATGCGAATTACTAGTTAAATACAAAATATGATTTTTATAAAACCGGTAATCGGTATAAGGAAAATGAAAAATTCTGTTATAATAACTCCGTATTCCGCTTAAGATGGAGACTTGAATGGAATATTTAATAAACGTTTTATAATTACAACAAAAAGTGACAATTATTTATGTATTTAACAAAGAAGTGCAGTTTCTAATGATTCACTTTCTCTAGGAATCCGGTACAAATAAAAGGCGGGAAAATGCATCCATTTTCTTTCCCGCCTAAAGCGAAATGCAAATGGCGGATGCAGTACAGCCATTATCGTTTTGACGCTGCCGCGTTACTCGATTAAATCTGAAATATTATGTAAATTCGTGTATCAAAAGGAAATGAGCATATATTAACTACTGTTTTCTTTCTCCCATTTGAACAAACTATTGTAGTTGTATATAAATTTTTCTTCCTCTAAAAATCAAGTTAAATATTTTTAAGTTTGAAGTATGTATTTAGTTTTTATGTTTATGACGTTGGCAATTTTAGTTGATAATATATACCGAAATATATATATGTACTTGTTTAAATAAATAAAAGACTATATATACCTTCTAAAGCTATATAAGTCAACTGTAAATAACACCTATAATGTCCAAAAAGTGATAAATATCACTTCGAATCAATCATTCAGCGAGATCGTTAGGGAAGGAATAAAAAATATCCGACCTCATTCTTTATTCAATTTTTTTAAATTATCTCGTTAACAGTTAATAACCACTCGAGTTGTCTAAGAGTTGATAAAATCGAGCCACTAGTTATCGCAGTCAATCGATTTGTCGATATCTCGATTACATCGTGACCGAAGGAACCCTTTAGCACGATACGATATGCATGTACTTATAGATCTAATGTACTAAATATATCGGATACTTAAATAATTGTAATGAAAAATTTCATCAATTTTCTGTTTTCTGCCTTGTTACAACATTTTAGAACCAATGCCAATGACTACCGAAGAGCAGTGATGGCTTCAGCATGCGACTATAATCCCTGAATTTGTAGGTTCGATCCCTGTGCACCATTGGACTTTCTTTCTATGTGCGCATATAACATTCGCTCGAACGGTGAAGGAAAACTTCGTGAAACCGGCTTGCCTTAGACCCAAACAATCAACGGCGTGTGTCAGGCACAGGAGTCCGATCACCTAATTGCCTATTAGATTGACAAATGATCATGAAACAGATACATAAATCTGAGGCCCAGACCTAAAAAGGTTGTTACGCCACTGATTTATTTGTTTTTTTATTCGTGATATATGTTATTTCGTGATAAATTTAATAATGATAAATCGACTCTTCGAACTCATATTTATTACAACTCATGCAAGAACTTCAATCATCTATTTTAAGTCCTGTTTCTAAAATATTTTCAATTGTACTTTGAAATAAGGCAGTCACAGTTCGTGATAAAACTGGACTCTTTTAAGTCAAGTTATAATAGCTCAACTCAATAGCGCAACTCAAACAATAGTTTTTTTCTAAAATATTTTCAAACAAAAATTAAGAAATGTATTCTACAAATAACGCTAAGAAGTAATACCATAGACGCTAATACTGTAAGTCAAAAAATGTATTTTGACATAGGGTATATTTCGCGCCAAGACTTATTCATATTCTAAGTCATAGTAATTACAGCTCATGCAACGCAAACAATCTTTTTTAATTTCTTTTCTTCTAAAATATTTTCATACAACAATTAAGAAATGTATGCCATAAATAACGCAAGTTTTCAAAAAGGCGGCTAAGCTTTCCAGATAGGTATATTCTTTCATAAACAATACTCTTGAGTACATACATCTTTTCATGCCTGAGACAATGATTTATTACTGAATAACATCTGTTTATAATCTACGCTTGAATAAAGGAAATAAGATTTCAATTTGACAAGGCGTAATGACGTTTTAAGTTTGTCATGTGGACCTAAGTTTTCACCCTTCAAATACTATGGGAATGCTCAACCCTTTATAGGATTTTTTGTTTGAAATCGAAACGGTAATGTCAGTAATGACGTAGTCCTCACATGTGCTTGAGAAAATGTTATGTGACAGTCTTTAAATGTGGCTCCCGGTTTATTTTTATTAGAGATTTACGATGTCAAAGTAATATCATTTGAATTTTAAGGTGTTTTAATAGCTTCCTTATAACGGATTAAGTTGAAAGTGAACTTGTGTTTATGACTGGCATTTTAAATTTAAAATAATTCGTCTGGGTGGTAACTTAAATTCGATTTTTAAACCTTTTTGCAAAGCAAGTTATATAAAATAAAGGTCATATAATCACACATTTACAATTTTCTTAGCCTTCATTGTAATAATAGTAATAATTCAAAACTAATAAATAGAACATCGAAACGAATTTAAAAAGTTTGGTCTCTCTAGCAGTACAATACCTTTAACGCTTTCGCTGTATTGCGATACTAGAATGCACCATATCTAGGGTCACCGGTACCACTATATGCCAACTTAAATCTTTAATTAGCGCCTGTGCACTTGAACCCCACGGCCCAAGAGTCTCTACTCCAAAGGGAACAAAATTGGAAGAAACACTCTTATATTTTAGCCGTTTATTATTTTCCACCTGCTCTGCCGCCGCACCAGCTTTAAATTGTAAAAACTGTATATTTGTTTGTTGAAATTTAAGATTTTATCACACATTTCGCCTAAAACATTTTGTTTTATAAATAAAACGTAAAAGTAAACTAAAGCAAAAAACTACAATACTCGTAGAATGTGAGGCAGTAGGCTGTAGTTGATCGGCTCAAACTGGTCCAGCCACTCAGGACACCCGCCCCTTCCTGCGTACGCGCATGTACCGATAGAATAAAAGATAATAACGAAATAATTTTGACGTACATACCTAATCCGTTATAATTATCATAAAATCAAATTAAACTAATTCGTCGAACGTCGAACAGAACACAACGTCGAATTTACTCTATATTCCTTAAACGATATTTTTGTATCCTCGTACTGATATAGAGCAGTGTTGGCCTAGTAGCTTCAGCGTGCGACTCTCATCCCTGAGGGCGTAGGTTCGATCCACGGCTGTGCACACATCAAAACATCGTGAGGAAACCGACTTGCCTTAGACCCAAAAGGTCGACGGCGTGTGTCAGCCAGAGGAGGTAGGTGATCCTAGCCTATTAGAAATTATCACGGAACAGACACAGAAATCTGAAGGACCTAAACAGGTCACCGCCACTGATTTATATTTATTTATTCGTATTCGATAGCATGGTTACCATATCCTTGGTTATCGTTACCATGGTAACTCGACACGGTGCTATATTTAGTCTATGCTTTATACTAAGGCTTATAAGAATCTTACTGGCCTTATAAATTCTATTTTCTTTTAATAAAAATAAATATTGAATTTAGAATAAGAATTTTTATCAAGAATGTATACTGTATACTCTGTGTAATCTGGTTATGTTTTTTTATAGAACAGGGGGCAAATGGGCAGGAGGTATTAATTATAATTATTTTTATTTAAGTTTTTCTTTGCTGACCGTCCAGATTCACGGATGGTCGGGTCAGTGATGCGACTGGATTAAACCCTAACCAACCTCGCGCATAACTTACAACATGTATCATTTATAACGAAAGTTATTTGTATTTGTAATAAAAGGCAAAAAAATCCCCTGGGACTAAAATGAATTGCCATATAATAATAATAATCTGATTAGGCTTAGTAACTATTATAGACTAGATTTTTAAATTGTTGTTAACATTAAAAAATAATCAAACATAAATTTATAACACTAATTTTGTTCTCACGTAAATCAAGATAATTTACAAATCAAACGTATCAAAGGAGTTCTTTAGGAATTATTTCTACGAAATAGTGAGTTATTAAGTTAGTGGAAGTTCTTGGGTGAGGACTATCTAGACTGCCCTCTCTTTAAAAAATTCAACAGCAAATCCAGCCGTTTTCATAATGAAAGGACTACTAAATATTAAATCATATTCATTCATTACGCTGTATGGGACAAATATTATTCGGCAGTTATGTAGAAAAATCTAAAGTGTTTATTGACCACAGATGAAATTACTAGTCGTCAAAAACAACTGGAAAATCGCGTAGTACCAAGTAGATTGCCAAAATAAATCGCATTTGAGTTTAAACAATTAAATTATTTATTAAATTAGATAAAAAATACGCGACGTCAGAAACAACTTGAGAATCGAGTAGTACTAAATAGTTTGCCAAAATAAATCGCATTTGTGTTTAAACAGTACAATTTTAAACGTAACATTTTTCGCATAAATTATAAAAGTAAAAGTCGTTGTTTTGACTGTTACGAACAAGTTATTTTAGTTTAGTGAATCACAAAACTCGTTAGTGATCGACGCGGGCGCAGGATGCCGAGAACGGCTTACTCACGCCTTTGTATCTCACGACAATGTTCGAATATTTGCAAGTGTACTGTAATGCTAATATACTTTTAAAGACTAGGGCCCATATTCTTATTCTCAAGTCACAATTTCGTCTAGAGCGCTTTCGAATAATTATGTTAAACTTCATAAAGAAAACATGGTTTGACAGATGTCAGATTTTAGTTTGACGTTTTAGAAAACGGTTCTAGGATTGCTAAGGATTGCTCAGTTCTGATAGACTATCCCGATATAGTACACAGCTCTCATTTGGGGATGCTCAGTCCCCTGCAATGTTTATGGTACAGAAAGGATTGTTGGGCTTTACCTATAAAACCGTTGCTAGCGAGATCGCACAGGGTAACGCGAGCACGGTAAGCAAACAGCAGTATTTGACTTTAAAAGTGCCTATGAAAAATTAAAAACTAAAAAAAAACAGTACTCTTTAGGGTAAACCCTGCTTAAAGAGTGACAAAGAATAATAAGATAAAACAACATTCAGTGCCTCTTTCCACGTGTTATCCTAACTTTAAATAAGCATGGTCACCCAGTACACTGTACAATAAGGAAGGATAGTTAAAAAGTAATAATTGTAATTTTTTTAATAGTCATGATTTTAAAATGTATTCTAAGAATGTAATGTATTCTAAGAAACTGTCTATGAATTGTGTATGGCATTTTTGAAGTAGGAAAAAGCAACACAATCAGAAACAACTAGAGCCTCCTTGTCCTAATTTTGAACTTCGCGAAGCCCTGGGCTTATTCTTTTGCTTTTTATGGCAATACTGCTTGCACGTTCATTAAGTTTAGCCCCATGCAAGAAGTTTTGGTCGAATTAAATTATTGCGCTTCATGTTAGTATTTTATTTAATTATCTATTAATAAACCAATAT